TTTCAGTCATCATCTACAATGTTCCAAAGCACATATTTCCTGAAGCCAGATCAAAATGTGAATTGTAATGTATCAAAATAACAATTTCTTAAACTATTGTCTAAAACTGGAATCGCTTGTTTAGAATGTTTCTCCAAAATAAAATTATAGTAAATTGACTGACATTTTAAGTAAGTGACTACTTATTGTCTAGACATATTTGCAGGATTGTAGTACTGACCTTTAAAATCTTCAATGACTTGATCAAGCAAAAGTCAGTACTGGCAAGGTATGCATTAGAACTTATCTCAGCAATTAAGAGCATTTTAATATAGTACTGAATTCTAGCATATCTGGAGGATCCCAATTTTTAAACAAGCCATTTAAAGGATATAATTTATTTTTAAAAATTATCGAGCATTTATTTCTATATTAATTGAATATATACTGTACATTAATGACTACAAATGTTATGTTGAATATATTCAATTCTATAAATTAAATTGTTTAACTTCAAAACAGAGTAGCAACTTCTTATTATAGAAAGTTACAAAGGCGTTGATATATAAATAAATAAATAAATTTATTTATTAAATTTCCATGCTGCCCTACAAGGTAACTCTAGATGGTTTAAAATTTCAGAAATAAATGAAAAAGTTAAAATATTAAAATGAACCAACATTCAAATAGTAAACACTGTGCTAGGACCATGCCCTCAAGAGCCAATAAATAGATGGGATGGGGATGAGATCTTATCTCATCGCTCACCTCCAGTGTTTTGATACCTTTTCGAAAAGCCAAAAGGGAGGGACAAGTTCTTACCTCCAGTGGAATAATGCTCCACAATATCAAGTATCATCTGGACTAAATTCATCTCCCATCTAATTACATTTCTATATGTATCTGTCCTTATCCTGTACAGTGCCGACTAGGAAAGACTGAACAGGATTCCAAAGAAAGAAAAAATAAGAACATTCCAACTTCCTGGTATCTCTAGTTCAATCCACTGAATCAGCAAAACCCACCATACAGCCCCCAAAAGTTACTTGGAGAATGAAATTTTAACAGCTAAAACTTTAAGAGAAAGTAAAATGTGCCCTCCTATTAAGGTAAATGGTAAAGGAAACAGAAATATTCTTATGGTTAATTGAACTGACAAGTTAGTCATTTCATTTTTTTAAGAAGTCTCACTGTGGACATTAATAAAAGTTTGGGCTTATTGGTAAATAAATTGTATTATTTTCTTCTGAAATAAATAATTCTTATTGATTCACAAATTAGAAGCAAAGTATAACATGATATGCCCATAATATTATTTACATAAACAAAATATTAACAGCATTAACTTTGATAATATAATTACATATGTTATGTTGCATTATAATACTATCTGCAACCTAGGTGCTAGATTTGTAAATATCCCAACTATCTTCTTATCCTCTGATGAGCAAATGAAAAGACTCGTAACAATAAAATTAAGCTACACTTATATCTGAACAAATATATTGGTTCACACAAGAGATTTACAGAGAATCAGTAAAAATAAAAGAAATCAAAATACTGCTCAGAGGGAGATAATTTGACTTTGCTTATTTTAATCTCCTTCACAAGATTTTGGGTACAGTTTAAAAAAGTATTGTCTTTAAATATAGCTGCATTATAAATATACAAAATATAGTAGCTTAGAAATTGAATTTCAACTATGAAAAGCTAATTTAAAAATTCAAGTCCTAAATAATTTAAATTTCTTTTAATATTCAATTATACATTAAGTCCTAGTGTTGCTTATTGTAAAGTATAAGATTGCAACTATAATTCGTAACTATACTTGGAATCATTACAAAGTTTCTGCTACCCAGCTAAAGGACATGTCAATTAAAAATATTCTGGTTTATCTTATTAAAACAATTATATTTAAAATATAAAAACTGCTGCTGTCCATTAGTGAAAAAATGTTTAGAACTTAGAACACTGAAAGGAATGATTTTATTAAAGTAATTAAGTCATGAAAAGTTATACAAAAATCATTAAAAAATTTCAACTTGTAGCACTTTACCATATATTTGATGATACTCATGGTCTAAAGGTAGTATCAACACATTTATTTATTTTTCTTTATAGACAGCCAGTATGGTTAAGTCATAAACCATCTTCAGAGACCTCAGAAAAAAAGTGTGTGTGTGTGTGTGTATGTATGTGTGTATGTGTGTGTGTATGTATGTATGTACACACACACACATACATACATATGTGTGTGTGTATGCATATGTGTGTGTGTGTATATATATATATGTGTATGTGTGTGTGTTATACTTGTGCTGATAAATAATAAATAATAATTGGGGCATACCAGGGGTTGTGACACTAAATATATATATTTAGCAGGCAATAAAGCACAGGTTCGATTCCCAGTAAGGGTATGGCTAGCTGATGAGAGCTAAATAGCTTGAAATAGATCTATACTAGTCTCCCTTTATTTATTTATCAGCACAAATATAACAAATGTAACAAAAAGGTAACAGTAAAAAATATTGGGTTTCTGTCTGGATGGTCTCTTGTGACGAGCCGAAGGACAGACAATGGAAGTAGTGATCTTCCTCCCATATCTGGGCATACCAGGGGTTGTGACTTTATATATATCGATAGAATTTTTTTTTGACAGAGATAGCAAAACTTCTGGAATTAAAGGAAAAATGAATTCAGTTTTGCTTCCACATGGAGGCCACTTATGGAGTTTATGCTTAAAACAGAAAGCAGACAATTTGATTTTAGGTTTTTCTTTTTATAAAAATGGCTAAGTCATTAATTACCTAAAGCAAAGAGTTGAGGATGTAACTTTATTCTGTATTCTACTGAACCCAAAAAAAGTTGGAACATGCAGTTTTTTCTTTCTTTTACTTTGCACCTCTCCCCTTATCTTTCCCTATCCCTTTATTGTCTCTTGTATTTTATACTACAATAAACTTCAATTAAAATGTATTTTGAAATCAAAGATTACAATCTTTGCAAATTATTTTCAATACAAATATTCTGAAATATCCCTTACCTGAATACATGTTGAATATATTCATCAAACCCAATTGTAAAAGAACTCTTACTATTATTACATCTAAAACTTTATATACATAAAAAAGTGTTTATGGAAATATTTATGAATTTGTAAAGCACAAATAACTATGCCAATAAGCCAAAGTGTAAGACAATTTACAATGTGTAAGTTTTAATGTGTAACACTAATTTAATTTATCCTATTTATAAAAACCCACTATACAATATGACAATATTACCCCTTTTCTTAATTTTTCTACAACCCTAAATATTTGAATGTAGATGAGAAAAAAATCCTTCAGGGTTGAATGGAGGATTTGATGCCAAGACTTACAAGTTACAATATTCAGTCAACTACACTACTAAATGTCCACGTCCATATGCAGACATAGTTTCCTGAAAGCTATGAAATAGCATGTTAATGTTTACCTGTTTTCAATATTTGTAAGCTGCTCTGAGTTGTATCTAGACAAAATGGGCAGCACACAATTCAAATAAATAAATAAAACCTCCAGGTAGGAATATTTCACAAGTCTGATTTTATTTATACTTCTAAGGTAAACAGATATAAAAATTAATATTTTCAAAGACTGCAGTAGCAAAATATCTAGTTATGCCACTGAAAGCATATTGAAGTTTCTAAATCCTAAAATCTTTTCAACTTCTAACCTATAATAAGACTCATTTAAAAGCCTTTATGCTCCTTTCCTGTTTATTTTTTTCACTCTTGTTTTCCTGCTTTCCACATGTACCCATACATCTCTATTCTAGGAAGGAAAAAAACCAGTAGTTTATACAAACAAGGAAAATTGTGTAAGTTACCTGAGTAAATTCACCATAACTTAACTACTAGTGGAAAGCCAGTAATTTACAGAATCCCAAACTAAGCCTACCCTTTTATTTAAATTATATTATAAAATGAAATCTATATAAGTGCCTTATTTTCAGATTAACCGTAATAAATTGTCTTTTTTGACATACATATAAATTTGAGTTGAAAATTGCTTAAACATAGATCATGAATGCTTTAATGAAGCAATAAGTAAAATTTAAAAATAGTAATTAAATGTTCTACTGAAGAATTCAAGAAAATCTAGTAAGAACAAAAACCCATATCTAGATCATTGCATACAATATAGAATGCTGCCATGTATCTATACAATAAACCAAGCCTAATGATGAAAAGAGCTTTGTAAAGTTCTCTTTACTTTCAAACAGTTAAAGCAGCAGGCTGAAACAAGGTAAGAGTCCATGTAATAGATTTACCATATTTATTTCGGGTAGCACACCTTCATATACAAAGCAGTCAGCAACTCTGTAGCATGCTGTCATATTAAACAATATGGGGTCCTTTGTCCTTTCTGAGCTTGTTTGTTTACTTGTAGATATTTGCTAGTACTGATATTATCTAGTTTGCTAATAAAACATCTGCAAGAAAACAGCAAGCTCAAAATGCACCAAGAACCCCACAATTCAACCCTGTGCTACAAATACTCTTCTATTGATAGTAAAAAATATCAGAAGTGTGTCCCAAAATAATGGTTAGCATGCTTTTTGAATTTTCTACATTTGTAAAAAGCTTTTCAGATAGCCAATGCTATTTTTATTTATTGGCTAGTATGAGATGTAATGTGCTAATATATCTTACTACTGGATTTAGCCAATTGTCAAAGGAATCCTATAAAAGTAGCAATTTAAACATACTTAACATATATAAACAAAATAAGATGGAGATTTCAAAAATTACAACTTGTCAGATCATGTTTCTTAAATATAAAAAGTCAACAATCTGCTTATGATGAAGATGATAAAAATAAAAGTACAGTGGGAAGAATGATTAAAAACCTATTTCATTGTTATGCAGTTGTATATGTATTTTATGTACAGCAGTGTTATGCAAGCTAAAATAATGGTGAGGCAAAATTATTTAAATATTAAAATCATAGTTGAATCAAAGGTTAAAGGAAACTCACCACCATCCCTCTCTCTAACTCTATGAGTATGAATGGTTTTAGCTTTATTGTGTCCACTATTGTCACTGTATTTGTTTTCAGGACTATCGGATCGCCGCAACATTTTGTTTGGCGGTGAAGGGTCTGTGGCGTCTCGCATCTTGTCATGCCGATGATCACCACCACTGGGGTGACTCTTTGATGTGTACTTAAG